GAAACGTTCATCGATGGCCTGGTCGATTCCGGCGTTCCTCTTTGGCGGCATCGTGGATCATTGCTGGTCTGCTGATACCAACTGATGTAGAGCGTATGTATGATTGGGAAGAACACGAACAATTCTTAAGAGAATTCTTTAAATTTTCGATAAAACAAGTCTGCCCTCTCAAGGGAGAAGACGATCTTTAAATACATCAGAAATCCCTAATCATAAAAGTTCAACAAATAACCAAAAAGGCCCAACACTAATAATAATAATAAAAAGAGCCCAATAATAAATAAGACTAATAATAATAAATGAACCAAACTAAATACGAAGACGATCATATTTATTTAAAAACGCTATCGCGGTCTCGTCTCCATCATGAATGAACCTGCGATTATTACTTCGAAACAATTCCGCATAAAAAACTTCATAACACTCGTTAAATTTTCTATTCGGCGACGTACGGAATTGTGACATACGAACGTCGCATATTAGTGCCCGACTTGGTAAATAGTTAAAAGTTTTTGAAAAGTTTTTGGTCTGTGACTAAATTATTAATAAATTGAAGACTACTACTATTAGGTCAATGAACCTGCAATTATTACTCGAAACAATTCCGCATAAAAACCGCATAACACTATTACAATAACGACTAACATATATTTTTTTATTTTTGTTTTTGTAAATTTTCTATTCTGCGACATACAAACGTCGTATATTTTTGGAGAGTTGTAATAATAATTTTTGGAAAATTCTTGTTCTTTGACTAAATTAATAAATTAAAAAAAAAAACTATTAGGTGAAAAAGAAGCGGTGCGTAACACTATTCGAAATGTGTTCGCATATTGATACATTTATGCGAGTTTTATATGGATATGCGATTCGTAACTATGCGAAAACATCACGCATAAGCGATAGTTATCTAAGCCTTTGGATATGCGAACCGTAAATTCTGCGAACATATGCCGCATAGTCGCATACTCATAAATGATGCAGTTTGGATATGCGATAATCTAATTACGCGACAGTTTTCCACATATCCTAAATGATGATGCGGTTGATCTGGCCTGGATATGCGATTAAAAAAACAAAAATTACTTTTATTTATTTTTTTTCACTACGCTATGCGAGAACAATGCGATCAT